CACCTCACACTGCAGACTGGGGGGGAGGGAGGTTGACTCCACCCCTTGGGGACCCCTGGGAGGAAGCACCTGCTGGGACAGCACAGAGGGCCTTACCCAGGGGACTCTGCCAGTCAGAGAGGGCACAGCTACTGGGTTCACATCAGAGAGGACAGGGGCAGCCCCAGGCACAGCCTCCTGGGATGAATGGTGCTGACTGAGCAGCTGTGTAGAAATTTTGGGGCAGTCCCACAGCGCCTCCTACTGGTCAGAAGCACACAGGTCCCCCTGACTCAAACTCCTGTGAGTTCAGCTGGTTTCTATAGCTTGTCAGGTCACCCTGACACACACACACACACACATGCACACGTCCTGCAGGTGTTGCCTTACTTCAGAAACATGTGACATTGGACTTGTCCTCCCCTATTATTCAGTAATTCCTTAATTGTGAGACAATTAAATTATAAAAGGTGAATTAATGCTTCGTTATAATCCGTGACAGGGATAAAAGAGCAGACAGTGCTGAAGACTCCAGGGCATTTTATGGCCTTCTATCTTCATGTTCCTGAGTAGGAAATGGCAGCGTAAATGTCCAGTCGGAGACTGTTGGATACGGGCTCTGGGAAGGAGGAAACCCTGGGCAGCAGGAGCAGAGGCCAGGTTTAGGCCACTCCCTGGGCCAGGAGCAGAGTGAGCTCTGAGACATCTGTCCGAGGTTGGAACCCAGAGCAGCTCCTTCTGAAGCTGTGACCCAGAAAACAATAATCTTCACTGTGTAGGACTTCAGGATGGAGCTGTTGGTTCCACATAGCCTCAAACTCACCCACCTTCCCCAGACTTCCATTCCAAGAGATGGTTCTGATTGACAGTCCAGTGCCCTGAGGAAGAGGGCTGTGAGTCTGGTGTCCCAGCTCACCTGCTCCTGTGGGCCAGAGTAAGAAGCAGGTCTGTGTGAGCCCTGGGCCCCCTCCCTGAGTCCCTGGAAAATGCCCCCATTATAAAGGACTGGGGGAGAAAGGCTGCAGGGCAGGGAGGAGGTGCTCAGAGCTTGGTCTCCAGATGCTCCCATGGGGGTTACACAAACAGCTGGGTCTTAGCCCCTGTCCAGACTCCACGGCAGAACTGCTCCATTTACCCACATTCTGGGGCCTTGCTGTCCTTCAACACTTGGTGATCAGATTCGGGCCAAGAATGTAAAGAGGAAAAGAAAAACAAATGACAGAAACTTGAAGGAAAGAAAGAGGAGTATCAGATCCAGGAGGTCACGGTGCAGTGGGGGCTCAGAGGTGAGGACATTCACACATCAGTGAGGACTCCTTTTATTCAACTGCCCTGGAGCCAGCTGAGTGGTTTACCAGTTGTCCTGTAAATCCCTGGGCTCTGTAATTCCTAACATCACAGTATTCCCTGCTGGACACGGGGCCTGCCCCTTCCTATCACTGTGATAACTAAGCACATGGGGCTCTATGCTTTTCTTTCTTTCTTTTTTAATTTTTTTAGAGAGATTTTTCTATCAGATTTGTTTATTCACCAGAGAGAGGCAGAAAGTGAGAAATCACCCCTTGGGGGGATGACCACTCGCAATCCCTTCTATTGCATCCTCCTCTTTGGATTTTGGGCATGCATGCACATGTGCCAGGCATGATTTTTCAAGCT